CTTTATTGATTTTGTTTTCAAAGAGTGGGTGTATGCGTCAGACCGGAAAAGCGATTTGAGGGTAGAAGCACGTTCTTCTATAATGAGGCGCTTGGGTATAAAGCACTGAATGAGAGTGATCAGTATCTTACCCTGAGAGAACTAGAACTGGGCTTTGCTGAGGTAAGCATGATCAAACAAAGACTGATGTAATAAGTGACAATGAAAATGTATAATAAATCGACCGAGATTTAAGATTTAGTGACACTTGACTGATAAGGTATGCGGTCTTAGAGCCGGTCGAACCGGAAGGGGGAATTGAATGAAACACGAACCCCACGGGGTACTTAACGCGGAGAAAAAAGCGTTTGTAAGGTAAGAGTGAATAAGATTATCACTTAATGTGGTACCAATGCAACAAGAAACGAGCAAAAATGTATAATTATCACAACAATAAAGACTGAAGGTAGTCTGTGAGTTTGAAGGACAATGGTTACTTTCTAAATTAAATGCATAGGTGGGAGGACCTAAGGTCACTGAAGTAACCACGACCCTAAATTAAGATATGTCTAGGATGAAAATCGAGGGGAACCGTGAAGGCGCTTCGATATCTATGGCTGTTAGCAAGATCGGGGATTTTTTTAACAATGTAATATGTCGATTCAGTTAGAAACTGGCCGAGAAAAGTGAACAAAAGCACAGTCATAGAAGTGCATTAGCAGTCAACAGGAAATGATTGGAAAATAATGAGCCGTTTGTCCGGTATATAATGAACCTTGCCATCTGAAACAATATCTATGCAAACCGGGTGTTTATCGAGCAGTGCTGCCTCTCGGCGTTCCCTTTGTTGAGTTATCACCCGGTAGATTATTTGTGTGCTAATTGGCTGCTTACTCTTGACACTATATAGAAATAGACTAATATACTTCGGATCTGTAACTGGGTTTCCTTTTGATATTGAGAAGTAGGAAACGATATGGATATGTAATCTATGGTTTTATAAGGGGTAAAAGAAATAATCATACTGTTTGCAGAGATTCTCTAAGTTGGATGACGTTGGTTCCGAGATTGTAAATCTCAACCGGTCATATGACATGATATCCCGATGAATGGAATAGATGAAAGCTACCCGATCGGTGAAACGGTCCTATGATGTTGGTGCCATACCTCCGGAGCGATGAAATTTGACAAACTGTTTCACAATTTTTATTCTCTACAAGTCTGAGCGCCAGATGTGAACCCCAAGGTGGAAATGCCGAAAACAAACAAAATGGCAGTACATAGAGAATGTATATATTTAAAAAATTCTCGGGTAACCGAACCACTACGCGACCGCTTGTGAGCTTTATTAGTTTTCAGTTCACTCAGAACATGTGCATATATTTTATTTGGGTTTAGTTTCTAACGATTCTCACACGGAGTTTGTTTTCCATACATCAAAATTGTTACCCACTGGTGTCTCCAAATCGGTCATGAAGTTGTTACTCGTGGGTCGATTTCACGTTTCCAGTTCATTAGAAATAATCCATTGTTTAATTGTTATATTTAGGCAATCATCCTGCGCCCTGATTGAATGACAAATATCAGCATCGTTTTCATGCGTGTCGCGCAAACTGTCGGTCCCATGCTGACTCATTACTTCAATATCGTCAGTGCACTGTAACTGAAGTCAATGACTGTCGGTTAAATTCCTCTCGTTTTTGTCGTAGAAGAATGCGTTTGATAGAAACAGGTTGGACGCAAACATGTAACCGATCAATGTGAAGTGATAGTTCACCTCACTGATACTATATGTTGGTAGCGTGTTGGCGTATCGGCCGTGCGATGCACCGATTTCGCCCAGCATCGTTTTTTGCTCGATAGACCTTAAAGTTTTCATCATTTGTAGCATACGTATAAGCAGTCAACTCGTGCATTTCACTATCACTTGTTTCAACAGGAGTCTTGTTGTTTTAGTGCAAGAGAACGGCCTCCGTTTCGAGGGCTTATTTGGTGTGCAGAATAAACTCATAAAGAAGACCTTTACAGCGGCAACAATGCGCAGACCCTACGATTGGGAATTTGAATAGGATAAAATTAAAATATCTTTGATTTATGTAATCACGGACCAAAATTGGTCGTCAATCGTGCAACTCAGGTGTTCATGTTTCGATTCCCATCAAGAACACTAATAACGCACGCCCTGCTGGTGAGTCCCAACAGGCACGAAACAACTGTTCGTTGATCTTTCTTGCCCCTCGCACAAAATTCTGTGAAAAATGTATTATGATAGTGATGGAGGATCTGATTCGGATATATGGTGAATTTCGTCCTGTAAGAGCAAAGGAAGCGTGAACTGGACTGCTGTCTCCAAATGGTTAGGTCTCATCAGCAATGCAAATTTAGTGGCCCAAACTGAGTAGTATGCTTACGATCTACCTCGAGGTCCCCAGTTCGGTCGATGGAGTCGCACTACTGACGAGACCCGACCAGGTTGAAACAGCCCTCCAATTCAATTTGTACAACCATAAATCATACACTTTCGTGTGGCGGTTCCAACTTTTCAGTTCATGCCTCATGTGCTATTTGTACGAAGAAATTAGCTATAAAAGTGTAACAGAAATGTCGTATTGGTCCAAGTGAACTCCCGAAGAGTAAGACGCACACATAAATAACAATGCGCAAACAATTTTGCTATGAATTCACCGGGACTATTTTTGCTTGAGATATCTGTTAACAACCAATTGTGATATCTTCTCGCTTGCTGCTTGCATTTGACTCGTCTAAGTTCGGATCGAATTATTTGATTTAACTCTGAATGCTATTCTGTGTTGTACTAATCTGGTGCTTTTCCGGTGTGTCATTTTCATTCGCGATAAAAATGGTGCAAATGACCCACTCATTTGTTATTGTTCTCCGGGTGAATCAGGGATGTGGGGTACAGATCTCCATTTCGTAGTTCGGCTCCGTTTGACACGCGTTTATCATAAGATATTGCCGCGATCTGTTGGAATCAGCCATTGACTCCGACTTGTTGTTCTTGGTAAAAACATCTGTGATAAATGGCGTTTGATCGACCATCTTTCCGATCTGGTGCAAATGTTAGCTACTGCAGTCTGTACCGCTATCCGTGCGCGTACGTTTTGACTTGCCGTGATTGTGCAAATGCTTGGGCGTGCGTATGTGTGCGTGTGTGTGCACTTGATGATGCTTGTTGATTTTACTGAGGTAATTAATGCAATGCGGAAGTGTCCTCTCGAGTCGACAGGTAGCAGCTCGTCACCGAAAAAGACTCTATGGAACAAGCGCACTGGTTGTTTCACCATCCTCACTGGTACTGTGTACCTCGAACCGGGAATATCAACCGAATTGGTTCACAAATCGGTCACTGGTTAACTTGGTTAACTTATTTCAGAAACGAATTTGTGCCACTGAGCACAGATCATTCCATACTAGGGTTTTGTTTGCGGCAAACTGCCATTAAATGATACGGTTATTAGGAGCATAAATGTAGATTTTTTCCCGATCAAGTTCACCTCGCCCTTTGGGTTGTGTGGTTTAGGTTAACGTATTCTCTACAACCTCGGTGCTTTACCGTGTTCGATAAAGAAAGGGCGATACCAGTGTCATTTATACTTAAGAACCGCAAAGTTTGCATATTGGCTACAAATCCGAACTGACTTAGCAGTTCCGCATCTCAGTCAGTCAAATCAACATTCATGATGCAGTTGTCCGGCGAACACTTTTCCTGTAGAAAAAAACGGCTAACATCAGAAATTGATTTCCCTTATGAGTCATCTTTATAGAAGCAGACTGGTTTTCCATGCTATGTAGCGCAGTTGGTCGGGGTGTGGGGTTTGACAGTTGATCCTTGACAAAAAGGTACACACATGTCATACCAACGCCATTTTATACATCCTCTAGGTACAATACACATGAGCTGTGCATATAAAATCGCGACGAAATTTGACCGCTAAGTCAGGCTTACCCAGGTCACCTTGTCTTGAGGTTTATTGGCTGGCATGTGCACCATGCTTTTGTTGTTGTGGTGGTCGTAATCGTGATTGTTGATGTTTGTGTCCAGATTTCAATCGCAAATTTTAGCTGGACATTCACTTGATTAATATGATCCATTTCATACAAAAAAGATCTCTTTCCATTGAAACTTGTGTTCACATTTTGGTAGTCCCAGGACGATCATGTATGGTCTCACGCTTGTTGTTGAACAGTAGTGTGGACCGATTTCCAATAGAAACCTTGTGATCAATAGCGTCAAGCCAAATAAATGTGGAGAACAACCCGATACTTATCCGGTTTCATGACTGTTCATTGATATTTAGTCTTTATGTACCCCTCCATAGGAAAGGAGACCTCCAGTCAAGATGTGGTGTTGCCCCTTTCAGATGGTCTCGTCAGGCTTTTTTCTTCTGTGAGTGGATGTTCGCGCCATATACCGTTTACTCCAGATGTGTCTTTCTGCAATTAAGGAAAAGCTTGGTTTTACGATAGGGGATTGCGTTTAGTGTCAGTTAGCTCACTTCAAATTGGGAACTTTTGATAATGGAGTGTTGACGATCATTAAAATTCACTTGGCAACTGAATGTTTTTTTGTGAACTGACGGATTTTGTGGTAAAAGAGTCGGTTCTGTAGGCTCCAACTGAATATTCCCATATTGAACTTTTTCGATAGTCAGTTATAGACGTCGATTCGTCTCAATGTAATAATTCGGTTATTAGTTTTTTCTCAGCAACGCATACGATTTTCGTGTCTCTACAGAGATGCGATTAGTGAACTAGTTACTTTTTCCCCCGTTATCGTACTGGTAATTAAAACACATTTACCTGTTGTTTTCGCAGGCAACCAGTCGGTTTAGTGGTTTGAGTTCACATTCTGGTCTCAAACATTGTTTCACCGCTTTTCTCTGTGATTGCCAATTTTTCCATTTGTAATTTTTCCAATTCTAACCAATTGTTTTCATTATTAAATTTTCCTGATTTTAGCCTTTTGGGATTGCCCAAATGCACATCTCGTGCTTTCCATTATGCGTTCTGTCAATCCACAAATACACCCACAACAGCATCATCAACATCCTCATCACATCGAACTACAGGAGGTCCAAGTGAGTGAGTGTGTGTGGGTTGGGTGGGGTGGGGTGGGACGACAAATGAGAGTTCTTCTAGTTTTGTTTGTCTAGATCACACACTTACGGTCACTTCATGCACAGCCCCCAATCCGTGCCGGTCGAGGTTGTGGTGCGCTGATTTTTTGGACAGAATCGTTGTTGCTGGTGTGTGTGTGTGTGTGTGCTTGTTCATCTTCACACAAATTGACACAACCCATTCACACTATAGTCCAGTCACTCCGTCCAGGTTCGCTTCCAGTCCGTCAGTCAGTCACTCCCGATTTGACTGAGCGCGGACATTCCCGAGGCTCGCATCACTAGTGTGTTCTGGGGGGTTGTTTCTCCCTGTCTGGATTGGGGCGCCAAACAACTCGCTTTGTCACTGCCGCTGAGACGCGTTGTTGTTGGTGTTTGGGGTCAGAGTTCAAATGGTGCCTCACCATCTCGCCAATCATGTTTTATTTTGTTCGATATTCGGAGATAGCACAGTGTCCTGTATGCCTGAAATAACCCCAACCAGTGTATTCCGGTGGTGAAATTATTTTTTTCGAAGTTCACAAGCTCTAACTGGGGAACAGTCCATACCCTGGGTTTGCGAATAGAAAATGGCGTCAGCTGGCGATCAAATCAATCAGGACAGAACACAAACCAATTTGGTCAAACAATACATTGCTGACGCGCTGAATATCTAAATGAATGGATAACACACATTCAATGACCGTCCGCATTTGAATTTATGTTTGAGTTTCCTTATGCGATTCACATATCCGGTGTTGTTCAATCAGCCGTGTACTTGTGTACACTCCAAAGTGCATTTTGTCTCCAATATCTGGTATATGTAACTATAAATGTTGATGAACCCACGGGTTTAACCATAGCTATGATTTGAGATGAATAGGGTGCATCTTATAGACAATACCAACCCGGGACAACCGTTGAAGAGAAAGAAATATAAAAGGAACCACTGTTGTTGCAGGACAAACACACATATTAGACAGTCTCGCCCCAAGGACAAATTACTTCATTTTACGAGGTTCAGAACACACGATGGTGGAAATCCACTTTGCCTGTCATGGTCATGTCTGTGTGGGTGGCTTATCGGTAAACAATCGGGGTTTTCCTCGCTTGCAGTCCACAATAACGGTGAGCATTTAGGAAAGAAACACTGACCATTTGGTAGTATTGAAGTCAGTCGTGTGCTAACAAAATCCAATTTGAGTTACAAACACATGGTAGTTATTCAGAAGCAGACATGTTACGTAATGCGCACGGGATGAACTAAATGTAGGTTGATCATTTGCTTGCCCTCTCCGGCTCTCGATCGTGATAGGCGGCCTTTCAAACGTTGAGTCCTACCAGTTTGAGATATGAATTACTTTGGATGTTCGATTTTCCGTTACAAATCTGACTGTGAAGTCTGCACCACGATATTATTTGAATATATATTCTATTCTCTATTGAACACGGTAACCAACTCCTCAATCACGTTGATACCGAGGCTGCTAGGAGGCGATTGTATCAATTTGACCTTGAAACTAGCCCTGGTCTCTGAGGTTTAACAGTCAACACATTCGATAATTGCTTTTTCGCCCAACAAGTACGGAATCTCGAGCGATGAATAACATGGTTCATACTCTTAAAAAAATCTGTTTTCCAGAACCGACTTATTAGACGCGGTTGAACAATACAAACACGGAGAAAATACGAATGTTTGACTTTCTGGCTTAGCAGTGTATGATGGTTGAAAGTTATCATTAAATTGATACATTGTTGATAACAATTTCGGAGCTTTGGTCAAACTGCTCGCTCGCTTATGCTCAGAACGCACTTGCAGTTGGTGTGTGTGTAAATGTTTTGGGTCACTGTGCTGATGGATTGAGACTGATTAGGTGTGTTTGTTGTGCAAAGGCCTGTCAACGACAATGCGCACATACAGAGAATGAGCTAGCGAAACCGTATGATGCATTCACAAACACAAAGGTAGACAGGCCCAGCATATAATGATGACGGTGACCTCTTGTCACTGAAGTAGATAGGTGGTCGGTTCAGTAGCCACGCTGGTAAAATCCAATGCTCTAGTGGTGAAATAAAACAAAATTCGCTACAGTACCGAAGGCAGACATAAACGAGTTCATGTTTTTGACGAAAACACTGGTCGCAACCCATATAAACATGTGTCCACTTGTGCTTTTCACTGAATCCAAAATTCCCGTTACTGTTTAATCTTCTTCTTCTTGGCGAAAAATAGATTTAATTCTGCGTATCTATACTGTGCGAGGCATTTTGCACGTGTTGAAACTTGTCCTCCAATCGGGCGTGTAAATTGTTCGTGTCTATGAGAAGCTGCTTTGTTCGGTACGTGTTACCATGCCTGTATTTACACGTAGCGAATTGCGTTGCATACAGCACGCAGTGCGAATTGACGACAAGTTATGCTTGATGTAATGGTTGAAATTTGGCTGTTTGACTTTTTCCGATGTTTGATATGGAGGTCCGATAAGATCTCGTCCAAAGTACGGTTTCTTATCGTTGGAATCGATATCCATTTACGATTCTCGGGACTCAATCGTCCAACATGGGTCAAAATACGCGAAGCGGTTTGCAAGACTTGGTTTGTTTATGAGTGCGTTCGCCAACATGTCACTCATGTCACTGAAAAACTTTGGAAGCGCTGTGCAACTGATTCATCCTTGTCACGAGTCATCAGCAACCCATGTACTCGGGTTTGAACCCAAGCGGACACGTTCGCCCGGTATCTTCATCAACAGTTGTGCAAGAGCACACTATCCTGTCGTGTTGACATATATCAAGCTGCTCCCAGCCAGTCGGCTAGCTCGTTTTCTTGTTTATACTCCCCAATGGATTTAGGGAATATGCATCACTGGTGATGCTTAATCAGGCTGATGGAGAGGCCGTAAATGACTTCCGGTGCTTTTCGGTGATGACTGCTACATTGACTCTGTTTGCCGAACACATTTAACTATCCAGATAGCGCGATCCAAGTGTCACCTATCCTTATTGACCTGTATCATCTAGTTCATTACTTGCTTTTGCAAGCAAACACGCGGTACCTTTTGTCTCATGAAATTATATTTGTGCACTGTTCGTAACCTGCAAGAAATATGTTTCTTTCTTGTACTGATGGTCTGCTTTTCTCTTTTCACACAGGCCTCTCGAATCGCTGTAGATCCTAGTGGTCAGTTCGCCGCTTTAGCAGGGTAAGATCCGATTTTTTTGTTTGTCTTCCTCCAGGCGTCTGTAACGTATACTGTGAAATCTGATCGGGTATTTTGAGATACGTGTATAGCTTTCAGCCTTTTGCAAGCATACCTCCTCTTATGAGCTTTTTCTACTCCCTCCCTCCCTCCTATCGTCCTTCGGTTTGATTTGATTACAGGAGTGCTTTGATGTCAGTGCGAATATTAGGAAGTTGAACGATTTTATGTTCGCAGTCTATTGACACAAAAAGGGTTGGTTATTCTGTAAATTTGCTCAGTTACCACAGATTGTCAAGTCCGGAAGCGCTTTTAAGTGTGACGTCAAGTGCAAGAGATTATTCACGCGTGTAATGAAATCAACGGAGAACTTGAATCGGAGTCGGAGTTTTTTCTCCCTGGCAAGAAGCACACAAGCTTCCTTGCATGGTTATTTGCCGATCTCTCGTACACGTGTAACACGCCTGATTTACGCGATCATCTAATGTGATCATTACTTTACCCAGCCCCCCCCCCCACACACACACTCGGATTCAGTCACGTAACCATCTGTACCCAATCGTGTTATTCACATTGAGGGGTTTGATTCGTTGGAACTTGTCTGTCCTAATTTGTGGTGGTTTGTGCGTTTTTCCTCTGTTGGAAGCTCACTCATTGCACTGGGAGAATAGTAAGGTGCGATTTATCACAGACTAATTGATCCCAATGCCAAGCTCGATATTCGAATAGCAACGTTTATATTAACACTGTTTCGATTCCAGTTATGCACCACATGTGTTTAGTGGAACGCGTGGTTCGTTCTGACACTTCGAACTAGTTATTGTTCAGCAATCATATGCGACACACAGAGTCTTCAGAGTCTGATTCTCCCAGGGAATAAATCTTGGTAATTTAAAACTATCTAATCTCACCGTGGTCGGCTGTTCGTCTATTCGACGAATACATTGGTGGTCAAATACGGATCTAACCCATTCGTGCGCAGTTGTTCGTAGTAATGCTTTACTGCTGGATCAGATCTGTCCAATCTCGTTGGTTGATTATTGATTCTTTCGAACTGAGCATCATCAAAGCATTACGTAGTACGGATTGGTTGGAGGCCTAATATCATAGCCATAGCACGCTCAAGTTTACAATTTGACCAATGCATTTTTATGTAACAAGGCACAATGGTTTTCTACGACGGATATCTCACGATAGAGGCTAGAAATTAAAAAAAAAGAAATATAGGAATGGGAATTTCATAATGCAGTTTTATCGTGTGCAGAACATAGCAAACACGAGTTCAAAACCTCGGAGGCACTGTACGGCTTTTCGGACCTGGTTTAGCCTCTTCCGCAGTCTGAATCCATCGACCCAACTAAAGATGAAACCCGAAACCTCACAGGTGGATCACCAGACAGCTGGCTAGACAACAGTTTCACTTTGTCTATAGCACAACTCATGTTGACCACCAGGGTTATGACTCAGTCGAAAACATTCCGAACGTGATTACTCCTTACTATCTGTTACTTAACTGCAATGAATTTGATCTTAAGAGTTCACGTAATCAGGATCGGAATGCTTCCAGCCGAGACATAACCCTGCATACTGGTGCTGAGGTGTGTTGCCTACACCAAGCTTACATGGATGGGTCGTGCTATATCGTGTATAGGCAGACATGTACACCGGTCTGATCAGTTAGTTGCCCGGTGCTCAAGTGGGTAGTAGTATACTTGCGTTCTAGCTGTTGTGGGTTTCTTGTTTCTATCTTAAACCAGATCGATAAATTAGCAATAATGATGAGACTCATCCAGGTCAGATCAGTTGCATAGTGCGTCTCTTGGCTTTTCAATTGACGCTTCGTTTACTTGTGCATGACGTGATCGTTTTATGTTAAACAGGCTGGTAGAATGTTGAAATATTAAAGAAATGGGTGTTTATAAAGCAAACTCAAACGTGAGACAATGTCCTGGTGTCATAATTCCAAAAGACAGTGCTGGTTGAGGATAGTTATGTGGTGCCAATAGCGTTCGAGATATGGTTAAATTGTCATTCATACAACAAAATATCTCATTTGAAACAAGGTTGCAGAATTCCCACTCGCACACAGGATAGTTGATGGAACGATTCACTATTAGATACGCATTTTTGTATTCACCATACCGAACATCGGCAGTTTGCTCCAACAGGTCTTGTTGTTTTTGGTCTTTGAAAGAAACCGCTGATCGCATCGTTTTGCGTACTACCGACATAACGCTGGTATGTTACGGAATCAAGGTTGTAATCGGAGCACAAGCAAAAGCAGCAAATGCTACCCCGGATGAAAGACATGTTTGCGAACCAACTGTCCAGTTTCGTGAACCAACCAAAATGAAATCGGTCACCCTGTACTACAAGGAAACGGTTTGCATCTTCCTGTCAGCAACTATCACATCATTTATGCAAGTTAGGCTTTGTTAGTTGGTAAACATTTACACCGTAGGCAAGATGTTTTTTCAACCGCTCGAAGTATTTTTGTGTTGGAACAAGTAATAAATACACATTGGTTCACTGGGAATCTTTTCAAGAATATTTTATTACTTAAATCTACAGTATTACATGTTGTCTAGCAGACAGTGAGCTTTATTCCTGTACGGCAACCCCCGCCGCGCGCGCACGCACTGACGCGCACACAACCATATTGTTGATTGTCTTGATCGATACTGAACTGCGTCAGAACCGTTTGGTTTTTATTAGGCATTCAGAAACAAAGCCGCGGGCTTCTTCCAACACCACTACGCGATATCTTACCCCCGGTCTCAACCATCAACCGAATTGTTGCCGGGGCTCCATTCACGTGCGTTGTCGAGACGCACCTAACGCCACTGGTGAGAATGATAATTCCTTTGCGCGTCGTGTGAGATGGGCAAGTCAACTAATTTGGAAAGTCTCTTTCAACCGTTCTCACTACGAAGTACATGTGCAAAATCTGAGCACCATTAAAATTATCTGCTACGGACTACTAAATTTTAGCCATAGAATTCTCATTTCTTCCACTAAGAAAGTCATATGTCCTGAATTGGAAATAAGAAGAGCAGTATGGACTTGATTTGATGCTTAACTCATCAAAGACCTGACTCGGGAGAAGTTTTTGATCTAATTGATAACATGGTTGTGTGATAACATCAATCTGAGCAAAATCCCAGCAGTATTTCTAAGTACTTTATTGCGGCAAACACAATTGATTCGTTCAATCCATCTATGAGGCAATTCTTCCACCAAGACGCATGTATTTGAGTACTGTGCCAGCCAACATTCAAACCGGATTCGAGGAGTTGAACTTTGGGCAGAACTGTTTTGCAATTTTTCGAACCATTGTGAACAGAAATGTGAAACGAGACTGACATTGAACATAAGAGAACACATTATTCTCCTCTCGCGATTGCTCGGAAACGTATCGCCTGACACAAACGAAATAGACAGGGGATTGTGCAAGAAGTACGATGAATTTCGATCATTAAAGATTGCATGAAAATCTCACTCGTAATGTGTTTCTGAAGTTTATGATCAGACTGTATGTGGATCGATCAGGTTGGGTGAACGGTTTGAATTGTCCAGTTCGTTCCATAGCATTAACATGTTAATATCTTAAATTGAATGAAAAAGCCATCCTCAAACACCTTCAGCAGTCTATAAAAATTTTCAGTGATCCGTTACAGTTTGCTTACGAGCCTATTAGATCCACCTTAGGCACAGTTTCCACCCCCATTCATTTTATCACTAAGTCTTTGAACCGCTCCATTAAGTCTGTTCGGTATGTTTTTCTGGACTACTTTTTTTCATTCGATTGCATTCCGAGATCTAAGTTGTTACAAAAACTGGAATCGTTTGAATGCCCCACGCAGTTGTTAGCTTGGTTATCCAACTATTTTACGGATAGGGTACAAACCACTAGGTTGAGGAAGGCCACATCGAAAACCTTAGTCAACAACTCCGGGGTCCTTCAAGGAGCGGTGTTATCCCCATACTTATTTTCCACGTGCATTTGTGATATTCCCTGTGTTTCTCCCACACGAATTTGAAATATGCAGATGACGTCGTGTTTTGTCAACCCATTTCTTCTTACTCTGATCTAAGCTCCTTCACCGACAATCTTGATCAAATTCAGTCATTGTCCTCTTCGTCGGGGCTAACCATAAACCCCAGTAAATGTGTTAAGTGTTTGTATAATTTTGCTCGCTCCCCATATCCGACAGACCCCACAGTAATCAATAAAAATCCTTTATCCAGGGTGAACTCTGTGTAACCATAGACATTAATCTTTATTGGTCAACCCACATCCACAATTATATTGGCGCCTGTCATTTCAAATACGAAAGCTCTGGCAGTTTCGTGCATCCCACTCAGTTATTTCTACCTTTGTTTATCAGTGTGTTTTCCCCATCTTACTCTACCGTTCCCCAGTTATTTTCCTGGCTTACTGAAACAAGAATTGAAAGTGTGACGTCGCGGTCTAACCATTATTAGTCGTTTCTCTTCTATTCCTGTGAATGAGTTAAACTGAAAGCTATCAGAGTATCACGTAACTTCCTGTGTGGAATTTGCCGAGAGTATTCTCACAGATCCTGTCCACCCGTTGCACGCAAAACTGACACGTTATCGTTCTTATCATTCGACGCCCTCCCCAGTCCGTCAACTTTCATCTCGAATTAACGCTTACCGCACTTCATCTATACCATATCTTGCTCGTCTACTCATATGCAAAGAGCCAACAATAAGTGAACTTTGTCTTAACCTTGAATTATGAAACGTCCCCATATCTGTAAAAAAATTTCTCATAATTTATTATGTGCGTTGTGACGGTCAGCGTGTATGATTTTTTAACTGAAATGTGAGCTCCAGTGCTTGCAAAAGTTACTCACAATACAATACAGGTAAATGTTCCATCAAATCTGTGATATTTGCTCATCGTATCTACGAGATGTTTGTCTTCGATCAACTGTTTTGTCATGCCGGAATGCTCTTGTTGTGTGCCTTTCCGGACTGAAATTCCGGAATGACCCTTGTGTTTATTTCTATCGTCCAATGCTAGCCTCACTATGCAATACCCGGAAAAACGGGATGGGGACAGGTGGGATATAAGACTGAAACTAAGTCTGTGTAAAACAGTCTGTTCATGATTGTTCTGTGAAAGCAGTTCCTCGAATCATTACGAGCGATTGGCACTACTGAATAAAAGTTTCTACTCAGTTATTTGGTGTACACGTTTAAAGGCATTCCTCGTTAAAAATGTGGTATGGTAACTTGAGGACCGAAGAACGACAACATCAGTCGTGTCATCAAGTCACACACACACACACACAGCAGTAACAGTGTTCCGTGTCCATCGTGCTGGGCTGAATGCTTTCCCCCATTTCAGCTTACGCTGTGACTGGAATGTGTATGTGATACGGAGCAGATAAAGCCACCGACAATTTTTTCAACTGGAAGTTGTGATCACATTCATCACGTGTCATTCGCACGACTGACCGGATATTTCCGTTTTTCGGAATTCCGTTTGAGACTCTGACTAACATCGCTGACGGACTGAGATCTGCTTCCTGGTAATTTCTTGTTTGCTCTCTCGCTCTAGCATCATGACTGATTTTTTCCGTGCCAGAACACATTCAATCGTGTGTGCGTGCGTGTGCTAGGGTTTAGTGGGGTCTGTGTGAGTGGCAGGCTGAATGGAGAATCATGCAGGCGCGCCTCGGTGCCTTCGACCTGATCGTCTGTTGTCTTGTCCTGTCAATTTTCAACACATGCTTTCATATATTTGCACACGGTCATTCATCCCGTCTACTGTTGGGATGTTGGTGTATGCTGCAGTTCCCTTTCTCTTTCCCTCTGTATGTTTGTATTTGTGCCAGTTCATTCATTTTTATCCCACCCACGATGTCTGTCTTGGTTACTGAGTTGCACATTTTGGTATACTAACGTTCACGTATTTTTCGCTTGTTTGTGTGTGCGTTTGCGCTAGCGATGGCTTATCAGTCTGTTGATGATGGTGGTGGTGGCATTTTGACATCTGAAATGATGTGCACATGGGAAGAAGGTTGTGTCCGGTCCTTCGGGTCCAGTACCACTTTTACCAGCGCACTCCATCCCCATCTGAGTTACACCAGAGCACGACGACGATGATGATCGACAGAAGTAGCTCCAAAGTGAGACTGTTCAAATCGAGATAGCATTGCCCAATTCCGTCTGTGGTGTAGCAAAGAAAATCGTTGAAACTGAACGTTTATTCAATGTATGAACCGATTGTCGCTGTTTTGCACAATACATCAGTAGAAAGTCCACATCACATTCTGTTCTGATGAAATTTAGCGATCCTTTTTTCGGATGCATCTTATGGCTTGGTTAAAAGTACACAATTGTTTGTTTTTAACTGAATCTAAGAGAGGTTGTTGTTGTTTTGGTTACATGTGCACAATGTCTAAAGTGCACGCCGAACTACAGACTGTATGCGTGTCCTCTCTTTTTGACTTTTGAACTATGTTCACTGAATGAATGAATGCATGCATGTATGCATGTGTGTGTGTGTGTCTGTGTGTCTGGGAGCTTCAATGCTCACTCCAAAATGGTCAAAAAACCACACTACGATCAGTGTTTATGGGCCTGAGCATTATCATTTGATTTCCCACATCGCATCACTCTCCGAGCTATTGTGTATTTACTCAATGGTCTGTCTTACATCTTCCATGCACGAAATGCGTGTTGTGCTCTCCAAGAGGGTCAGCGCCATCGTAGCCGTGTCTGTTTTGTACAGTTTTCTCCTGTCCTCAGGACACCCACTATGTGGTTCCCTACCCGGTCCGTATACATGTTTTCGTATCTGCTTTTCCTTGTGGACAATTCGTTTGCCGGTTCGCTTTTTGTTCTTTATTTCCACTTCTGTGTTTAGCCCGGTTCTCCCTCTTGCTCTGCTGAATGTGTGTCTATGAAACACACGAATCGGCGGGAAAATATATGNCAGTGATTCAATCTCGAGCGTTTGTAATTCCAATCAGTTTTCAATCAACCATTTGTGGTTCACCCGTTTGTGCGTGACGACTAAACAGAATTCACATTTCCGATACTAATTGTATGGGTCGGGTTATCTAAACCTGGATAGTATCCGGTGCATTCAACTGGGCTATTTATCGCGCGAGAAGCGTCGGTTGTTTCACGCCCTCTATATTGTTCAATGTCCTTCCGTCCCTAATTCTCTAAATTCGTTCATTTCGTTTGAACCTTGCGCAAAGTGTGACCCTTTCCATCTATCTAGGATAGATGGTTTGCGATACTTTGAAATGCGATGGAAATATTTGTGATAACCGACAAAACTGAAGGTTCGCGGTTCGAGTCCTGACAGGGACACAAAAGCGTACGCACTGCTGATGAATTCCAAACAGGACGAAACACCTGTCCAGTACTCTTTATCGGTTATCACAAACATTTCAATAGCATTTAAATACGTTCACTTCGTGGGGAATTACCGATCTTTCAAGGAATGAAACCCACACCCAAGATGATCAACAGTACCTGGGGCCTGTGTCAATAACCGTATGGGCTAATCCAAACATTCACCATCTAGGTTTGCGATACTGTTCGTCGGAACCAACTGTGAACTGCACATAACCGGAGCCATGTTTCGTATTGCGTGTCAGTGGATGCAGTTCATGTGTGTATGTGTGTATTTGTGTACTTTAATGTTTTCAATGTGGAAACTGAAGAACATTTAGTTTATATGTTTCATCGTATACCGAGCAGAGGAAACTTGAATTGAAAAACTGGGAGCTTACTAATTCTTACACTAGGCAAACCTAAAACCGCTGTCCCCGTTTATCTCCCCAAACAACGCAATCTGTAGGAATCATTTAGTTTATTCAGTAAATTTTGGTGGATTCCTAAGGAAAACCCGCCACAGTAGACAGCATACATGCTATTCAGTGGATTCCACGTGCCTCTGTAAGATGGACGAATGAATCTAATGTGAAGATACCAGAGCTCTCGATGTGACCTCGCCACTGAGCTGATAAGATAAGCGCTTTACGAATGCACAAAGCGGCATCCATGCATGGGTTCGAATCCCACCGAAACCGAAAAGCTAGAAAGCATTGGACAGCTGTTTCGACCTGGTTGGGTCTCATCAGCAGTGCGAAGCCATCGACCGAACTGGGGATCGAACTGGAGACTTCATGGGCAGAACTCAAGCACGCTACCCACTACGCCACCCACGGCACCTGATCAGACCGTTTTTCATTTTCCAATTACAAGATATAGCACAACCCATCTTTGCGAGCTTATTACGGGCCACAGACCCTGCTTATCCTCCATTACTCACATGAAATAAGTAGTCAGGTTGTGAATGTTTTAAACTGAGTCATAACCCTGGAAACTAGTGCTGAGATGAGCAGGGTCTGTGGCCCGCAACAAGCTCGCAAAGATGGGTTGTGCTATATCGTCTAAATGGAAAATGAAAAACATTGACCAGCTGCCCGGTGGTGTAGTGGGTAGCATGCTTACTTTCTGCCTGTGTAGTCCCGGGTTCGAATCCTGTTTTCTTTTGCTCGTCTGTCAAACGACACAATGCCTTTTTTTCTCTTAAGACTAGCTAGTTAACCCATATGATGTCTGGATCTCCAATTTTGTGCTTATGCCGTTTTCATTTGAATAAAGCGTCCTTTACATTGTACTTATTGAGTTTTGACCAATTAATGCATGTTACTCATATATATTAACAACCCCATGGTGTCATATTTTTTCTTAACCTATAATCTGCTGATAAAATCCCACAAACTGATTACTGAACCATCTTATTCCGAGACTATAATGTGCACTCCGAAAACACAGGAATATGAGTTCATTTATACGTTCCTAAACAGACTTTCCGCTGAATTACTTCGTTTCTTCAAACCTCAGTTTTGGTAATTGGATCATCGCGGCACCATGCAAACTGTTGCCCAGATGAGATCCATGCGATTTACTCCACCGGTGATTGGGTGCATTAATGAACGTGTTTAAGTATAGACAACAACGGCGTGCCTCCATACTTCACCAGTTCTCGCTGCGCGTTTCCAGCTAATTCATACGGATAATTTTGCGTTTTTCTAAAAATCTTCAGGATGCAGCCACAAAACCGAACCAAGATTGACTGATATACACGTTTCGGATGATTTATTTCAATTGTTGGAATAAACCATCAGTACACATTGTAAGAAGAAGACAGTAACGAACAAGCTCGTTTACGGTGATTCAACTACAGGCTGATACATCACAATTTATGTCAAAGTCAAAAGGGGGAGAAAGTATCACAAGATGGGAAGAGAGCTAATCAGCATTCCAGTTCCATGACCTCACACTTTGGTCATCACACACGCATTATTTCGGGTCATTAGGTATCAATTATTCTCCCCAAATGTCTCACTTCACTTCGGTTTAGCATTTTGCACATCTGGGGTTTTTCTTACCCTTGTTCACCCCCCGCACCTGTCCGCCATCGTCTCCGCGTATCGACATTGTGTATTGTTTTGTCGATGACATTTCTCTTTCTTTTAATACCCGTTCTATAGGCCCAAGGAACTCACCGTGTTCGCACTTGATCAACCGATCCAATTGCATACATTCCCTTTGAATATACGATCCGATCCAGCCGGTCTTGCTTGGCACCCGGACGATCCTGGTCAATTGGCCGTCGTGGTAAGTCTCGGCTTCCGATGTTCTTCCTATCAAATTACCTTGTATTGTATATTATAACTGTTCTGGGTTACTTCCTGGCATTCACTTTTTTCACTTTGAAAGCAGAGTTGTTTGTTGTTACTTCGAGGACATTTATCACTAAAAAGTTGTTTGCAAGTCACAGTCGTTGATGCGATATGTCGAATGCTATCATCAGGTATGAAATTATAAGTTCTTCCCTTATCGCTTGCACCCATGCTTACTTGTGTATTCGAATGCGTCCGACGGTGTTAAGGTATTATACTTTGCACCCTGGTGAAACTTCTTCTATTTCATGCAAATATTTTGAACATGCCTGAGAACCTGTAAGGTGATCTGTTGGCACATTTATTCCTGTGATGCTGGCTTGGGAGTATGTTTCCCGGAATTACAACTATGGTGACTGGTGGCCAGCCTGCAAGAGTGTCCAATCTGTCCAGTGATTAAATGAGTAGTATGCTGTCGTTCTATTCGAATATTCGAAGTTCGAATTCATGCACTACTACCAAACATTGGTGTTGGGTAACTTCACTGTCATCCGACTCAATGCCATGACCATCTTAAGTCTCGATGCGTAGGTTACCGGTTATCATGAGTGACCAGTGGTTCCTCGTACTTACGGGGCTCATACTATGCAGTGTAATAAAAAAATTAATCCTCGTGCCAAAATTATCGTCAGAGAATCGTTTCTTTGTTAACATACACCTTTTATAAACTGGAATTGAAAAGCAGCAGCGCCGGATCGTCTGTGGATTTTTACGCTGCCTCTGTCTGAGGACGTGTGATTCAGATCATCTTCCTCTAGACTCTGCTCGGTATACATACACCTAATTTCTTCTCGTATGTTTCTCCTTTCTTTCAAGCGACATACACGTTGCGAACTGCTCAAATGGGATTTGGTCGAGGGCCGTTTGTCTTTCCTTCATAGTCTCGGGGGTTACGTTCGTCCGATCACCTCGTTTGATTGGAGCCCATGTCATCCACACTTACTTGTGACCGCCTCGGCAGACCAGTTTCGAGCGATTTGTGTATGGGATTTACGTGATTTGACACGACCAACTCGTGCAATCGAATCCCTGTGTAAGTGCCCCCCTCCCCACTCTCGGCTTCCTTTTTGTTATTCTATTAGTAGAGGTGAGGTGGGAGTGGATGGAAGCAAACCCGTAACGCATGAGGAATTCCTTTTTATTTCTGCTGTCGGGTACATCAATGAGATGCATCCGCGTGTAACCAGTCTTCTTCTTCTGCTTGTGTTTCAGGACCCGTTCATCTTTCACTTTTTTCCAAAGAATAACCGAAACAGGTGAAGGTTGTGTGCATTATATCTTAGTTTCTCTATTAAACAGCTCTAATCCTTCCTTCTCAATCAATATCAACCATTGTCTCATATCGATCCCGAAATGGTGCAGTGATCACAATTTAATTACCTATGTGAGTTTCTTTGGCGAACTTTAGGAGTGCGAATAAAGTGAGACCATATATGTGGGGCCCTTCGGATTGTGCACCCTCAACCCGTTATACTAGATTTCTGTCATAGTCTATCTGTGTGTCTCTGATTTCAATTAAGATTGTCACAGAAATAGTCTACAGAGATTTAGTTTAACGACTATCATCAAAAGAAGCAGTTCTGAGCTGCGAGAATCATGCTTTGCAAACTCCACATAATGCATTGCATCTCCCCACCTCTCCTCTCTCTCTCTTTAATGATGTATACCTTTTGTTATCCCATCTGCACATTCCAAATAATGACTGATGAACAAATCAATGTGCTCTCCCACTCGTTGTTACAGATGATCTTTACCTCTTTCCTAATCATATAATGCTATCAAAGTGTTTTTGTTCCGAAAAGAGATACTTTTCAATCGATTTCTTCGGTGCATTTCATCCCAGCTACATTAAAGATTAATTAAACCTCATGCACAAGAAGACCAAATGAACCTGATGCAACGCTTCCCGGGATTTCAGAAACATCTGCGTTACGCCCACAGCACTAGCTTCTTCTACCTGAAATCTCACCCATTATAGGCTGACTCATAAGCTGTTAAGTCAATCGGCAGTTTCGCTTCTCCCGTTCGCCCAGAAACAATCACCAGTTGACGGTTGGTTTCACTTACAACCACACAGTGACACACGATCACATATATAAAAGTTATTTTTCCTACTTCAAAGCCACATCCATTTCCCACATTTTTATCACGGTTTGTTTAATATCCCCTTGCAATTGATTTTTAGAAGATCTCCCAAGAAGGCCGAAACGTCATCACGGAAATTCGTGTTTTAGGCTTCTTTCGCGTCGTAGCCCATTGCAAATATTCAGTTTCGGACCTAATGCATCAATTCAAGTCAAGTCAAGAAGCGGCTTTAGTTCGCCCCTTAGGGATGAACATTCAGCTACTACGCAATCACTCGTCTGTGGAAATTATATGGTAAAAAACGGATGATGATACGTTATATATTCAAACGAATAAGATAAATTTAGCAAAGATTTTGTGTGTGTGTGTGTGTGTGTGTGTGTGTGTGTTGTGATCTTGGCTCCGTCACATCACTCTATATGCGATAGCACAACTCAGATCCGCTCCCCGCATTTTTTCACCGAACTATATTTAAGTTCTTCTACTTCAAAGATTTATCACTTAACTTCAAATTGCCCCTCAGTTTCTCTGACGTCTCATTTTTCATGCAGAAATTTGAAATTCAACTTTGCTGCACTTCTGACCAAGTCATTAATTTGTCTGATCACGGCAGCTATGAAAAACCAGTTTCGAGTATTTCGTCGAATTTTGCGCATCTGCTAGCGCTGATGACTGACTCTTAAACGTTACATCTCATCCCTTCCCTTTTCCCGCCCCGCCCCGTCCTGATTGGCTTGTTTTCTCACGTCGGAATACCGCTCGAAAAATTCTTGTTTCTCTTATCGATCACAGCCGCTCCGAGCGTCATTAAATGGAGTCGTGTTGTGCAGGCAAAATTCGCCTGTTCTCATCGCAACGAGATCCGTTTGTGGGATTTGAGGGTATGTGAATGCCGCTGATTAATATTCGTTTATTTATTATTCTCACAACCTTACTCTCTCTCTCTCTCCACACACACACACACACACACACACACACACACACACACATAGTGTGCCGGGACATGGTTCTCTTTCAGACGTTCCTTATTGCCACAATCCTCACCCCACGATTCCGTCTGACGTAATTCTTTGTCATTGTTTTTGTTTGTTCTGCCCCATCTCCATTGTGAAGTGAACCAGATTAAAGACATTGTTGACATGTTTGTGCGTGACAGTGCTTGTGTGCGCGTGCATTTGTACCGCGACCTTACTACCGCGACAAAACCTTGTCAGGCGGAAATAAAACACCCAACTCATTCCGATCACACCTACCGCCGTCGGCGCATCTCTCGTTGAGTGACACATACCCGAGCGCGTGAGAGTGGCACGTTCCCGTTGCGCACGTTGCCGCCCGTTTGATAACGGTACACAAACTGTTTTTTGCACGTTAGCAGGACTCATTACAGTAGTTTAAATATTCTGTTTCCGTGTACTCCATAGACAAGGTCTTACTGACCGTTTTGATTTTACAGTTGGTTCGTTGGTTGGTTGGTAAATCGCTTTTGGTAGATTTAATCATTTTAAATGCATCTTCGCTGCGAGTATCAAGCTTGTTCACTTAATTGTTGGTGTTAAAGATCATAAACTGAAATTACGCACATTAAGATTCGTACCCCGCGCGGTCCTATTTACTGTTGCGAAACATTTTTTATTTGAGGGGAGGGGCGGTTGCAGCCTGACCCTCCTACTTGTTAAGGTTGCTAAAAATGAAGGAAGAAATGAGGATTGATATTTTGCTCTTTAAATTCGTTAAGTAGATGTCTTCGGTTGCGACGTGTGTGTGTGTGTGCGTGTGTGTATGTGTGTGTGCGCGTGTGTGTGAAAGGCGGAGTTGTTCCAACAATGTATGTTTCCCATTCTTGAATGTATCAGAGTAAATCGGTGTTGAATGGAAATATCGATCATTTTTTCTATACAACTTAAAAATCGTGCATGTATGCCACAAAATATCTAGTGCCCCAAGCACCAACGAAGAATACATTATCATTATCATCCTGATCAAGTTTCTAATCTCAGATTTGGATCTGTTCATCCAGTTCGATTGATTTCAATTCTAGTATTCATTAGGGTTTTGTATCGTGGCGTGGAGTTGCAAAATTCACATTAGAGAGGAAAACCAATGGTGGATTGCAACACACTGAACAGTTGTTGTCCTTTTACTGATCTTAGTAAAATTAAACTTGGTTTAACACAGAGACCAGCGAAAATGAGAGGAAGGCTTAGGAATATTGAGAGAGAGAAAGTTGGGGGACTAAACAGGTACATTCAAAACGTTAAAATGATGTTCCGGAACCTGCACAAATCACAAGCGAGGTTAGCAGAAACACTCCTCGATTGTTTTTATTATTTTCTCCGCACATAATCCTATTCAAATGAATTCAAATATCCTGCTTTCGCAAAAAAATGGAATTGGAGCGGTTACAATTGACTTCCGTACTGAACGAGTGGGCATGCAGTGATCTGGCGACAACACAAATCTGTGACAGGAGAAAGTCACTTTGAAATGGATAATGGCNCACCATTGGATGGATATACCGGAGTTGAGGCGACACGAATGCACGCAAGGGACGATGTCCATCATCGTTGTTTTTCAACTAGGTTCGTATAGGATTAGCAAACAACATTTAATAAACTGGCTTAAATTTGGAACTAAGCACGCAAATACTAGCTTGCGTAAACAATTTTACAATGCAGAATTTTGAAGTAAAAATAATTTTTTTCCATTTTCGGCTTCGCTATCTACCCGGTACCAATTCTGTGCACAGTACAGTACTCGCATGCAAAACGCAGCTAATGGCTGTCGTGAGTGAATCGTTAATTCACCCATCTGACAGTTGTTATTTGACAAACACACACTGTTGAATTAATTCAAGAAGGGTGAAACGCCGCCATTCACTCATTTTTGTTCTTTTTTGTTATAACCAATCCAAATAGATTCCGGACTTTACAATTGGTCTACTTGAAATACAGAGGCTAATGGTTGATAGCCCCCTCCCCTAATTAAGATTTTCTTTCCCCCTACATTAATTAAACATCCATGCGCAAATATAAATCGTGAATAAAGAAAATTTGTACCAAGAAACTTAGCATTTTTTTTTCAAAAGGGTTTGTGTGTGTGTGTGTGTGTGTGTGGGCAGGGGGGGGCATTGGGGCTTTTTTGTATGCGCACACATCGGTCGATTTCGACAGAAAGTTGAGGCTTTTGTCACATAAAATACAACGTTGGAGAGCATATTGTTGCCTAGCCCTCATTGTAGCATTCCCCTTCACTAATTATCTATCTCCGTGGAACCGTTTGGGTTCGGGAACAACTGGAATGAAAAAAACCATGTCGCGACAGTCCGGTTCCCACCCCCGTTCTTTATTTTTCTTTTCGGGATTTTGGTGGATTCATATGTGAAATTTCACAGGAATAATCTCACCTAGTTCGTACTTGGTCTGACCACATANGCGCTCACATGACCTGCTGGGGGGTTTCCACATTCCTTATTATCCTACTTCTCGTGGTCTGTGATCAAAACATGTACTACTAAACTACTATTTGCTTACCCCGCATGCATCACACTGATAACTAGTTCATGGTGTGAGATACGTGGTGCTTGTTTAGGTCTGTCGCAAACCTATTCTCACAATTCGTCCAAGTTTTGGTCAACCGACCTCTCTGCTGTAGAGCACCGCGAATGAGAGAAATAGCCGCTTCTAAAGTGACTTGATTACACTTTTTGACAACTGTTTTACAAGTCCGAACGTTTAGTATTCTTTTTAACTTAATTAATTCTGAGAAAATGATACCTTCTGTGTGCATTCCTTTTACGCTATCGAACACCATCCGTCGTACGTTGACATCTAGTTGGATCTTATGAAATATCAGTTCGGTATTTGGATTTGCTAATTTAAATGAAAAGCTGAAATAGTAATTGTTTTACAAACATTCACAAACGGGTGAGGGGGGAGGGAACAAATCTGGACGATGGATTGGTGTCAACACGTATTCACCCGGAACCGGCTTTTCATCATTGCGGTGTTTTGTGACAATCTGTTGTGATGCTTGTGTGCGTGCGTGTATTCGTATGTGCTTACGGGTTCGTTCGTTACTGGTCCCCGTCCGAGCGCTCCTGTTCGGTTGGGCGGTCGTGCCCACTATTTCACAGTTGCTCAACCAATTCAACCACTCTGATTCAGGCTTTTTAAACTTTTCCAACCCCTGATTCACCGTCCCACCGGGCCTGTGTGTGCGTGAGTGCGTGCGCGTGACATCTCACGTCTGATTTACCTCAAAGTCCACGTGTGTGTGTGTGTGCGATTAGATGTCAGTATTTTTGTGTGTTCGTTCTCCGCGGGAACCTGGTAATGCGATGTGTGCCGTGGACCTCGCACGAGCGAATTTGTGATGCACTTGAGTTTTTTTCCTTTATCGTTACAATTTCTCACTTCCTCACCCCGCACACACTACATGTTGGATGTTCGTGTCGACAAAGTCACATTAAACAACGTTTTATCTATCGGAATCGTGTGCTCACCACAACTGTGTGCAGCACATTATTTAATTATTTATTTTACAACTTATCTTACTGAAATTGACGCCCAAATGATCATGGCAGTCCTATCTGCCGTTGACAGTAGTGAGTTATGTATTTCAAGTGGGCGCCGAAGATGAAATAATAGCATTGGTAGTTACCAGATCAACGCAATCACCATGTACTTCGGTCAATGTGAAAGCGATATGGAATGTTATGTTATGAAGTGCATGCTCGCCAATAGGATGGATGATACTCGTTCAGGTATTTTGCAGAACTTTGTTTTAAATGTTGAAAACAGGCACTTCTGAATCAGTTCAATGTTCAATTTTCCAGTAGTGCATTTTTCAAACCCGGTATGTTGTGATGCATGTTGATTGCTTATTCGGGGACAATCAACACTCCTCCCGTTTATTTTGAATTAATCACTGAATAATAGCGCTATTTTAATAACCACTGAGACATACAGAACCCATGTGGAAAGTTGTAAGCATTAGGTTGTTGTGGCTCGTTTCTTTTAATTATACATTGCTATTTGTGATGAACAGCAGATGGGGTGAGTTTCGTTGTTACCAGAACTTGTTATGATGAACCGCTTAAGGCCCCGCTGGTTTCTGATGGGGTACTGAGCCGGAAGAAAGTCCATCGATGGCCGAAAAATTGATCTCCGCTGCACAATCCACTCTCCGAAGACCATATTTTATCCTGTGAATAATGAATGATTAGCAGACCTTAAAGACTTATAAAGTGGTGAGTTGGTGTTTGGGAAGTTGCACTGATGACGTTGCTTAGCTTGGCTGCGAAACATCTGCTAACAACACTTCCAGCTCTGAGAACACACCAACACCCACATCCACGTCCTGTGTGACGGTTTTCAACAGCTTTTGTACACTACTTTTCTAATTCCATTGTCTTTCTTTTCTTATCTCTTCTTTCTCTTGTATGAACTGAACGTTTAACAGTTGTTTTAGCCGGCCTCCTGATTACCCGCTCGGTATCTTTGTGGTCTCGCTCCGTAATTTACTCTATTGTTTGTTGTTCTGTAACTGGGACCTACGACGGTTTCGTAATTCGCAAGTATAATAGAAACGAAATTTCAATTGTCGTTCAACTGTTTTCCCACGTACTGGAAATTTGGTCAGTCGAAGTCGATACATTGCGATTCGTATTGAACGTTGTTCGGATTGCCGTCATATCCTGAGCCACAATCATTCCACACACACTAAATTGGTATATGTTACACAACGTTGTGTTGTTATTACGGTTAAAACTTGTAAGACGTGCAAAGAGGTTTCCTCTGCTCAGTTTATAGTTTACGATACTACAGACTTTGCAGTGACACAGGAAGCCAAGATTATCGGTAGTTTTGTCTAATTTGGTTACTATGTATGAGCGGTTGGAGTGTTTGGTTGTCCCCCCCCCCCTCGTTCGTATTTGGAGTCTACAACAGATAAAAGAAATAACGCGATAAGCAACCCAAACTGGCAATGGAACAGCCTCGCAAGACAGGACTATTCGACCGTTCGGTGTTCAATATAGTTGTTGATTTTCTCACATCCATCAACGCC